TTGAAGATAAAAAAATTGTGTGATTAAAGATGAATACAAAAACTAAGAAAGATAAATACAAGAAATAAGTGTTTAATGTTTATATGAAAGGCAAGATCTTTGTTTTAGATTTGGTGAAGGAGGAGTCAATTATAGATGAAGATATAAGTGAAGGAGGGCACAAAGATGTATGTCTTCAAAAGAAGTTTGACGATTAAAAGGAGAATGAAGATAATGAAATACCAGCTTCAAAAGAGAAATTTGAGTCAAGTGTTAAGGCGATCCCACCCAAGATTGAGATAAAAATCACAAGAAAAATAAAAAGAAAAAATAGTCAAAAAGAATAAAAATAGATTTTGAAATTGAAAATTAAATCGGATGATAAAGATAATGAATAAAGGAAGAGTTTTGGAAATATACCTAAATATCTTTAGTTTAAAAAGGAAGGAATAAATTAATTTTTATTAAGAATATGTTATTTATGTTTCAAATATTTAGATTTATTTTTTTAAAAAAAATATTTTAGAATTGTTTCCTTATTTTAAAATAGAGCATGTTCTTCTTGACAAATATATCTTAAAAAAATATAAAGAAAATTGCACTCCCCTTACTTGACCTTTTTTTAAATGACACACACATTCCATCTAATTTTTAAGTGAATACTAACCTCCGTTATTTATTTATCTAAGTGACATATACAATTTCATATAATAAAATAACATCTTGTGCACTATTAAAAGATAACAAATTATTAATGCAAGTATCAACAATTGGATGAAACTTGATCTCTTAATCAATTTTAACTCTCAAATTATATTTTAAATATCACATGTGTTGCAATTTAAAAAAAATACACCAACTTCTTAGAACAATTTTCAAAAAAAGAACTTAGAAATTATTATCAAAATTAAAGAATAATGAAATTTTAAAAAAAAAGTATTTTACGTAATTAAAAAATGAACAATAGACATGTGGCTTTTATTTTTTTCTCATTCTCCCACTTTAATAACCACTAGGGTTAGCCTAGTAGTTGGGTGAGGAGGGTTTGGAGTAATTAGAAGCATGATGACCTAGGTTCAATCCTCATTGCGACCATCTTTGTAATCTTTTCTATCTTTACCAAAAAACATTTTCTCACTTTAATGTACTAATGATGTATTCTAAGAAAAGTGAATGGTTTTTAAAATCTAGAGGAAAGTGTCAAACAAACTTTAGGGGAGATAAGTACAATTTTTTCAAATATAAATACAAAATAACTCATCAAAATGTACACAACATCCACCTAAATATTTGATTAATAATATTTTGAGATTTTCAAAATGTTTAGTGATAATTAATTTTGTCGTTGATATTATTAATTATGAATATACTAACTCTCTTACATGGTCACATGTATAAACATATTACATCATAGGAGGTTGATAATAAATAACTAAATTTATATATACTTTTGACATGTGATTAATAATGTCATTAGCAGGTTATTATATTTAATGACGATTAATTTTATCTTAATCAATAACATAAGTGTTAATTTCTCAATTAAATTGTTTATTAAGGTTCAAATCTTGATATTAACTATATAATGAACTGTGTTAGGGAAGGTTATAACTTGTAGAAGTTCATTATCCTCAATAAAAATTAATACTGTTTTTTATAGTTGATATTTCGTAGTTCATATCAATACCGTAATTAAAAAAAAAACAAATTTTCTCACAAATGAACAGTATCATAATATTATTAAAATGTCCGATATAGCAGTTATTCATATGTTAGAAGTGATTAACATTTATTGTATGCATGACTACCAGAAAAGTGTCATTTTCTTGCAAATTTTTCTGCAAAAAAATATTCGCAGAAATTTTTTGCAAATTTTCTTGCAAAAAAATTTCCGCAAAATTTTTTTGCGAATTTTCCTGCAAAAAAATATTCACAGAAATTTTTTACGAATTTATTTGTAAAAAATAATTTACAGATATTTCTTACAAGTTTTGCTACAATTTTAATAATCATAAAAAAAATTTTCTGATAAAAATTTGCAGAAAATATTGTAAGAATTTTATTTTTTTTTCTTGCAGATTTTCTTGCAAAAATAAATTCGCAAGTAATGTTTTCTAAATGGTAGAAAAATTTTGCAGGTAACTTTTTCTGCGGATTTTCCTGCAAATTTTAATCAGCAGGAAAAATAAAAAAATATTTAAATTTATAAGTTAATATTTTAAAAAAAATTCAAGTCCCACATCGATTGAAAATAAAACAATTAAAGAGTATATAAGTTGGGGCAACACTTATCTCACAAGTTCATTTGTATAGTTGAGTGTTAGACTTATAATCTATAATCTTAAAATTTAAAAGATTATGTATCACATGTTGGAGGCATGGAAACAAATGCTTCGGATGAATTCATTATGAACATTTGAAAGTTGAAAAATTATTGATAGAATTTATGGTAATTTCTTTATTTTTTTTGTAAAAAATATTCCTTCAAAATTTCTTGTGAAAAAATTCGCAGGAAATTTTCCTGTGAATTTTTTTTGCAAGAAACTTTCCTGCAAATTTTTTTCGCAAGAAATTTCGCAGAAAATTTTCCTGTGAACATAGTTTTAAAAACCGGACCGGTCATCGAACCGGTTAAGGTATTGGGTCAGTGGGTCAAAGGTTAAACCGGTGGGTCACTGGTTGAACCGCATGACTCGATTTTTATTTATTTTTATTAAAAAATATTCATATTAAATATATTTATACTTATAAATTTTAATAAATTCATATCTTATTTTAAATTTAAATTTTTCTATCTTATTTAAAATTATTTTTATTTTTATTTTGTAAAAAAATACATAAAAAAATTACATGTTAAACGGTATATTAATACAAATTAAAAATATAAATAATATGTACATATATAATATGCTTGCAATTAATATCACAAAATAATATATGTAATATTTACATAGATATTGAATTATTAAATATATAATTTAAAATTAATAATATACTATAAAAGTTATTTAAGTTGTATATATTGCAAACAAATATATTAGAACAAGTAGTCATTGTTATATTTAATAAGACTCCTTGCTTTTTCATTAAGAGATTCAATTTTCATTATTATTTTTGTGATTTATGGTCCCTTAAAAAATTTAAAAAAAAAAAAAAAAAAAAAAGTGGTTGAACCGGTTTGACCCACCGGTTCACCGGTTGAACCGGAAAATTGACCGGTTCAATCCGGTTTGAAACGGGTCGACTGCATAACCGATCCAACTTCAGATTCGGACCGGCTGGACCACCGGTTCCTGGTCCAACCGGTCCGACCGGCCGGGTCGGTCCGGGTTTTAAAACACTGCCTGTGAATTTTAAAATTCGCAAAAAAATATTATCCACGAAGGTATTACCTGCAGATAAAATTTTGCAGAAAAATTTGCAGGAATAATGTTTCCTGCAAATTTTTATAAAAAATTTGCAGGAAAAGTCGCATGTAATAAGAGAAATTTTAGTAGTATAATTATTACACTTACAAATATATTCTCAAAGTTCCAACTAATTCAACAATAATAACACCAATAATGTGTAATCCACATATTTTTTATTCATGGAAATAGAACTGAAACCAAAGGAACTTACAAGTTACAACAATGTGTAGTCTGTCTTGATAGTAAAAATTTGTTGTTTTATGTTTCAACATTATGGCTGGAGCGAGCGAGAATACCCTCACTTAACGAGGGTATTTTTATCTTTCCACTTTAGATTTTTTTTTTCTTCTTTTTCTCTTATTGTGTGTTGACCTTGTGCATAAAAAATAATAATAATAATAATAATAAACCTTGTGCATGGGTGTCCTAACTTCTTCTCCGGCGGGACCTCTTGATGCAGCTCCGGCGAGTCTTTTTTATTGTTTCATTTCTTTTTCTTCTTTCGGTGTTCTTTTCCCTTCTTTTCTTATATTTTTCATTTCTTTCCTTTTTCTCTTCCTTTTGATTATCTGTATTGTTCTAAGCAGCAACTTTTGGTATTCTTTTTATTTTATTTTTCACTTGTGAAGTTTTGTTCTTTAATGGTTAGCAAAACCATGATTCAACTAACACTACAACAAAATTGATTATTACCGATAATTATTTAGTGGTAATAAATTAATTGCCTTTATTTTATTATTTAATAAAAATATTAATGATTAATATATAATGGTCACTATGTATTTATATCATACTAAAATTTATTATTAGCGACAATTATTTGTTTAAAAAAACTTAAGTCTCACATCAACCAGAAATAAGATAATTAAAGAGTATATAAATGGATAATAATTCTCACCTTATAAATTTGTTTTGTAGGGTTAAGTTAAACTTATAACTTGAAGAGTATATTTAGAAAAATTCAAATCTCATATCGACTATTTATAAAATAATTAATCAGAAGATAAGACAATTAAAAAATATATAAGTAAAAGACAATCATCATCTTATAAGTCCCACATAGAAAGTAAAAAATGTCTCACATAAAAAATAAAAAATGTCACAAAATATTATACACTTATTCTGACCATTATAAAAAATTTTAGCACACTGTTATACAATGACTGTCGAGGAAAACCGGTGATTAGATTTGTTATACAAATAACTCAGTGTTAATCGCTGTGACCCGACCGGTATTTTGATCAAACTAGTGAACCCCAAGTTATCAATCGGACCGGTTTATGTATGCATTTTAAATCACAAATATAATTAATTTAATTTGTCGCATGCATGTTTTCCCTGAACCCATGTCGTTGAGGTTGTTTAAGAAATGATATCACTGCAACTACAACAGCACATTCTTTCATTAATTAAATCACAAATATAATTTTTATATTATATTTTTAAAATATAATTATATATTAAATAATACACTTAATCGGGTGGTTCAACCATTCATCTACTAATTTAACAAATCACTTACCAATAAATATTGACCGATTCGATCACTGAACCAATTTCTATAGACTTTCAAAGTTTTACTAGTTTCATGAAAACAAAATAGGGGGAAAATTAAAAAAATACATAACACTGATGCATTAATAGCTTCATCTACGTGCTATAGAATATAAACAATCACAACATGATCTGAATTGTGTCCACAAGTCACCCCTCTTTGAACACATATCGCTCAACTGTAACACCATGATGGATCACTATATTTTCATGATCCTTTCTTAATCGATACCTTTCAATCTTTCATCAAATCCACAAAGCAAAAAATATATGAATAGACTGCATGTTAAAACACAAGCCACAAAAGAAAATAAGAAATTAAAAGAACAAGAGAGAAAATTAAAACTCCTTGGCCTTTTGATCGTCCGGGCCGCCTCCCCTCTCGAATCTCTGTAACACTCTTCACCTTCAACACCGTGTCTTCATCTACACCACTGTCTCTATGAAACACAAATTCCTGAAACACCCTCTTAAAGTTTCTACACCAAACAAATCAATCAATCCAAGGATTTAAAAAACAGTCTACAATCGCAATTTCAGCCATAATGTTAAGGTTTTTTAAGTATTCTCAAAGTTCACAACACATAACTGCAACTGTGATGACAATTTAAAACCTTGAATTAATTGTGATAGAAATTTAAAACCTTGAATCAACCCCACCACTGATGCACAGCCACTCCTTCATCCCTCAGCTTCCCATACAAAGCCAAACACTCCCAATAGGCTCTTCTATTCCTCCTCTTGTTATTCCCTTGCTGTGGCTTGCACTCCAAGAAAAGTTCATCCACCAATATTATGGCCTTGTTCCTCACCATCTCCTCCACCACCTCAGCCTCAGCCTTCATCACCACATACTCTTCTTCCCTCACATTCTTCCTCAACCAATCTGACATCTCTATTTGAGGGCCACCCTCCGCCACTGTCTCTATCTTATACATCTCAAAATTCTTGTTCCTCGTTGGGTATGTTTTTCCAAACCAATCGGTTCCACTCCCTCCATCTTTCTCTGGAAGCCCCACATCGATGAAAACGCGACGAGGGTAGCCCTCAAGCGAATCACCCATCAAATCAGGCAAATACCTCGTACGCTTCAAGTACACCCTCGATTTCCCCGAAGCCGCACGTGGGGGCTCCAGAAGCACGTCTTCTAGGTTTTGCAACGCAGCTTTCTTTGCCTCGGGTACGTACCCTAATAGTTTTCTTTGCGTTCCTATGGCAACAGGGTCAGGTATGGTTTCTTGTTGGGTTGAGGTCGAACATATCAAGGTGAAGGAAGCTAGAAACAATGCCAAAAGCAACAAACGCTGAAAATTCTTCCTCATTTTGGAGTTGGATAAACTTGTCACAGGGTGATATAGGCTTGAGGGTATTCAAGAGAAAGAAATTAAACACCAAGAAGATAATGATGGTATTGTTGAAATTTAAGAGAGTTGTTACTTGCAGAAGAAGATAAATAGTAGAGATTGTTAGAGAGGAAGGAGAGAAAAGGGGTTGTGTGGTTATTGTATTAGCGAGTGCAAAATCTGGCAGCAGTGTGGTTTCCACCCACAAGGGACATTCTCTTGCTTTCGAATGATGACCACAGTAACAACAACTCCCTCATCCGCTGCATCTCCATTTTTTGAACTTACGACCCAGGTCGATGATGATGGTGTTCAGGAGCTCATGGTGTATTCATATCTGTGTTACCGAAGCTTGTTATATGTTAGGCAAACACAGTACTACTTCGTCACCTTCATCGATCACAAATAATGCATGGAGATGTGGGAGGGGGAGGCTTCGTGGTGCGATCAAGTTTTGTATTTTTTCTGGTTTTGAAGTTTGAATTAAGAGGGGTACGGATTTGGTGGGAGGAGAGTTTGCGGGGATTATATGCATGGGAGAGGAACGAGAGAGAGGGAACGCTTGAAAACTGTTGGTGGCGCGAGAATTAAGTTATGCCGTTCACTAATATGGTCAAGCACTACGCTTAATTATTACAAATATAACTGGCCATTTTATCATGCAAACTCCAAAATGGTGTGGTGTGGAATTGCTCCTGTGAAAACGGGGACAGATTGGTCTGAGTTGGCATTTGCTCTGCTTAATATTTTAGTATTTTATAATGTGCTATTAATGGGTGGATTACTAATGACAGAAATTTGGTAGTTAGACAGATCCCATGTGTCTATCACTTACTCCCTTTGTACCAGGAAATCACAAATAATAATGTCGTTAGCTATAATTTTTCATATATATAATTAGATAATGGAAAAATTATCAACATAATACGATAATCCAACTCAAACCGCAAAAATATAATTATGTTAGTTCAGATACGTCAAATTCATAAGTGAATCATTATTCATTTACACAATTACTAGCGAGTAGAAATTATATGAAAATAACTAACAATTTAGCTTGAAATTTTTTATGCAAGTATTTTTTTTCCAAAACTATTTTGATCCATAATGAGTTTAATGAAACCCAACACAAGCCTACATGAACACCCCTGCTAAAAGTTTCTAAAATATCAATCCCTTCTCTCAAATGAAAGTCATTTGCAAATGAAGGCACTTTATTAAAACTAGATGAAGGCTAGCTAGGATGGGGAAGGAAATTAGTTGGTTTATGGTGGACCATTCTTATTTATTATTAGATTAATCTCATCCTTACAATTTTATGGTGTGCCATTTGTACCAAGTTTTTTTCCTCACTATAACTTTAACATTGGTTCTTCCTTCCATCGTCGCCCAGTGTCTCCGCACCCCCACTCTAGCAGACCCAATTTCATTTACAGACTAACATTATTATTGAAGTAGTTACTGAGGTCCCTACTTAAACCCTTGGTAGAGGAATTACTTGCATAAAATTTCATTAAAGACTTGCTTATGTGAAACTAGTGAACATGCTTATAGTGGGGGAGGTTGCACGGTAGGTGCTGGCCACACCGATTCAGTTTCACTCTCATATGGCGATTTTATTAGTTCATCTAAGTCCTTGCACCGTGACTCTTCAGGCAAAAGTGACTTTGAACGTGCGTCTCATAGCTAAGAGGAAAGGATGCTGGTGTTTAGCATGTTAGGGCACTAAGATGTTGATATTGGGCAATAAGGGTGGGATTGGAGATTGCTCTTTGGTAGATTGGTTTGTCGAAGTGGGGGCATGGAGACACCAAGCAATGGTGGAAGGAAGAGCCAAGGAGAAAGGTCGTTAAAAGGGGGAAAAATGGGTAAGGAGAGTCCACCATAAAATTGTAAGAATACAATTAATCTTTCGGTAAATAATAATGTTCCATCATAAACCACGTAATTTCCTTCCCCACCCTAGCCTACATCTTAAAACTTATCTAGATTTAAGCTTCGGAACAAAACCATTTGCATTTTTTCATCACGCATTATACTCATTTACATCCAATGGCAATTCTATCAGGTGGGAGAGGAATTAAGGTCAAAGTGCAGTTTTTAGAAACAGGAGCATTTAGTAGAAAAATTCACTTAAAATTTTTCTGCTACAAGCGCTCAAGCCCCGGTTCTCAGAGCCCAAGCCTCAACTTTCTGCCTCATGTCCAGGGGTCTAGAGCTGCAGCCCTCACCCGTGGCTGCAGCTGAAATTCTCTGCCAAGCTCTGCATGGGAGGAAAAAAATAATAATAAAATTTGGAGCTGGAGCTCCAGTTCCCAAGCCCAAGCTTAATAAATCTGCTTCCATTGCAGTTGCAGCTCTAGAAATCGTGGCTCTAGCCCCAGTTTCAAATGTCCACCTTTTTAAGTTAATTTAAGATCTCTTATTCCATTTTAAGGCTACGAACTCTTTCTCTTCACTCCCTTTTTGTGCTCTCAACCTCTAAACCCTCCCTACTCTCTTCTAATCCCACTCATTCTCACGAGTCTCTCTTATTAGTAGGAGATTCTTAAAAACTTCATGATTCTCTTCTCCTCTCTATCATCATAAAAAGGAAAGTTTTCCTTCGATTTATTCTCCTCTTGTGGGTTTGCATGCTATTCTTTCAAATTTCTTCTTCCTCTTGGAGGACAATGTGAGTTTTAAATTGCAATTTCTTGAACGAACTAAACTTCCTTGCTTGCTTAAATGCAAAAAAATTTCATTCGGGAATCATCTTGGCTAGTTTTTGAAAATTCATGATTTTGTAAATAACCCTAACCTACAAAGCCTATCAAATTCCTATTTGCGTGTCTTGGATTTTTAATGTTTGTTGATATTGTGCTTCATGCTTGTTTTGAGTTGGTGAACGAATTTGGGTGAGGCATGGTTCCAAATGTGTTTGAAAATTTTCAAATTAAGAGTTGTATGCAAGGTTTTCGATCAAATGTCTATGTGAAATTTCATCAAAATTTGAATGCAAATGAATATTGTCACTCCATGCATATTACACTTTAAGACATATTTGTGTGATTCATTTATTTGTACATGGTAAGCGTGAATTATTGAAGTGAATGAAACATTTTGTTTTAAAAAAATGCTTATTGAAGGAGCATGCAAGGTGTTTGTGGAAATGTTCGAATGAAGCCTACGCTGTGAAATTCAAATCCTTGTTATATTTTTTGGCAATTAATCTTAACTTATTGAAATGAATATCATCCACATGGTTAATTGTGCTTGAAATTAGGATTGGTTTTTTTAAAAATATTTGACTATACCTTGTGCGCATTGTTGTTTATATGGTCATGAACAAATTGTGCATATGCTTATCATTTTAGCATTGACCATTATGGGAGCTCTTTTGTTGTTGAATTCTTATAGATGGTTTGTTCTAGAAGGGGTGGTTTTGCAGGAGGTTCTAGACCAACTCATGAGATCTTTGCAACCAAAAAAAGGAAAGGGGTAGTTGCAACTTCTCAGTCTCAATTATCATCATCCTCATCTAAAGACAAGGAGACAACTCCCATCAAAATCAATCACCAACCTCTCAAGTTTAAAACTAGAGCTAAACAACACCGGTTTCTAGAGTTACAAGAGAGACCAATTCTTGCTGAGAGACTTATGGTCAACACCACCCCATGTATATGCTTTGATAATGAAATAAGGAGGAGAAAATGGGAAAAGATTGGCACACTAGAGTTGTAATACAATGAGACTCTTGTTAGAGAATTTTATACTAATGTTTTTTCGACTAGGCCAGATATAAAGGATCAAATTTTTTGGGTGCGAAACAAGAGAGTGTCATATGATCCTAACACTATAAATTCTTATTTGGACACTCAATATCAAATACCTGAGAATGATGAATACCACAAGATGCTCCGCACTCCTTTAGATGAAGCCATCTCTGCAGATTTGCTTAATACTCTTTGCCTTCCTGGAAGTGAATTTCATCTTGGTACCAAACAACAACCCAAACATATTAAAAGAACTCATTTGAAATCATTAACTCGCATGTGGCAAGCTTTCTTGCAATATAACATCCTTCCAACCACCCATTCTTCAAACATCACCATTCCTCGAGCCAAGCTTGTTTATTGTATTATTCAGAAAAGAAATCTAGACTTGGCTAGCTTAATCTCTAAGGAGATCCATGCAATTGTTAAATCTCAGCCTTCTAAAAGTGGAATGGTAAGACCACTGGAATTTCCAGGGCTCATCACAGGATTATGCAAGGCCTTTGGTGTGGTTATTCCTAAACCATTAACATCCATCAATAGACCCATCAATCAAGCCTATTACAATAACTAGATCAACAATGCAAGAGAATTTGAGCCAATCTCACTTCAACCTCAGTCTCACATCCCACCACAACAAACACCTCATGGCTAACATATCAAATGGAGCCTCTAGGCCTGGTTGAGGTGCTTGTTATGGTGGGATGTGAGGCTAAGGTTGAGGTGGGATTGGCTCAAATTCTCTTGCATTGTTGATCCGATTATTGTAATAGGCTTGATTGATGGGTCTACTGATGGATGTTAATGGTTTAGGAATAACCACACCAAAAGCCTTGCATAATCTTGTGATGAGCCCCCGGAAATGCCAATGGTCTTACCATTCCACTTTTAGAAGGTTGAGATATAACAATTGCATGAATCTCCTTAGAGATTAAGCTAGCCAAGTCTACATTTCTTTGCTGAATAATACAATAAACAAGCTTGGCTCGAGGAATGGTGATGTCTGAAGAATGGGTGGTTGGAAGGATGTTATATTGCAAGAGAGCTTGCCACATGCGAGTTAATGATTTCAAATGATCTCTTTTAATATCTTTGGGTTGTTGTTTGGTACCGAGATGAAATTCACTTCCAAGAAGGTAAAGAGTATTAAGCAAAGCTGACTTCATCTAAAGGAGTGTGGAGCATCTTATGGTAGTCATCTTGCTAGGTATTTGATGTTGAGTGTCCAAATAAGAATTTATAGTGTCAGGATCATATGGAACTCTCTTGTTTCGCACCCAAGAAATTTGATCCTTTATATCTGGCCTAGTCAGAAAAGCATTAGCATAAAATTCTCTAACAAGAGTCTCATTGTATTGCAGCTTTGGTGTGCCAATCTTTTCCCATTTTCTCCTCATTATTTCATTATCAAAGAATATACATGGTGTGGTGTTGACCATAAGTCTCTCAGCAAGAATTGGTCTCTCTTGTAACTCCAGAAATTGGTGTTGTTTAGCTCTAGTTTTAAACTTGAGAGGTTGGTGATTGATTTTGATGGGAGTTGTCTCCTTGTCTTTAGATGAGTATGATGATAATTGAGACTGCAAAACCACCCCTTCTAGAGCAGACCATTTACAAGAATTCAACAACAAAAGAGCTCCCATAATGGTCAATGCTAAAATGATAAGCATATGCACAATTTGTTCATGACCATGTAAACAACAATGCGCACAAGGTATAGTCAAATATTTTCAAAAAAAACCAATCCAAATTTCAAGCACAATTAACCATGTGGATGATATTCATTTCAATAATTTAAGATTAATGTGCCAAAAAATATAACAAGGATTTGAATTTCACAACGTGGACTTCATTCAAACATTTCCACAAACACCTTGCATGCTCCTTCAATAAGCATTTTTTTCAAACAAAGTGTTTCATTCACTTCAATAATTTACGCTTACCATGTACAAATATATGAATCACACAAATATGTCTTAAGTCTAATATGCATGGAGTGTGTCATTCATTTGCATTCAAATTTTGATGAAATTTCACATAGACATTTGATCGAAAACCTTGCATACAACTCTTAATTTGAAAATTTTCAAACACATTTGGAACCATGCCTCACCCAAATTCGTTCACCAACTAAAAACAAGCATGAAGCACAATATTAACAAGCATTGAAACATCCAAGACACGCAAATAAGAATTTGATAGGCTTGTGGGTTAGGATTATTTACAAAATCATGAATTTTCAAAAACTAGCCAAGATGATTCCCGAATGAAATTTTTCTACATTTAAGCAAGCATGAAGTTTAGTTCCTTCAAGAAATTGCAATTTAAAACTCACATTGTCCTCCAAGAGGAAGAAGAAATTTGAAAGAATAGCATGCAAACCCACAAGAGGAGAAGAAATTGAAGGAAAACTTACCTTTTTATGATGAAAGAGAGGAGAAGAGAACCATGAAATTATTAAGAATCTCCTACCAGCAAGAGAGACTCGTGAGAATGAGAGTGGGATTAGAAGAGAATGGGGAGGGTTGAGAGCACGAAAAGGGAGTGAAAAGAAAGAGTTCGTAGCCTTAAAATGGAATAAATGGTCTTAAATTAACTTAAAAAGGTGGACATTTGAAACCAAGGCTGGAGCAACGATTGCTAGAGTTGCAACTGCAATGGAGGCAGATTTATTGAGCCAAGTCGGGGAGTGAGAGCACCCGATGCATACACTTATATTTCAGAGAGTCACCATCATAACATATGTGTTTGCATTGATTGATTATTGAAATAGTTGCTCTTGTAAGAAATTTTGGAAATGATCAAGGCATTGTATTGTTCATATTAAAAATCTTTTGAGCTTAGAGCCAAACAACTAACCTTTAATTGAGAAAAATCTCTGTTTGAAACCCATTTGAGCTTTAACCTTTATTCAACCGTTAAGTCTATGGCAAGTGTATATTCCTCACCCTAACCAAACCTTAGAGAGCATGATGAAAATGAATGTGGGTTAAGTTGGGGGGAGTGAAGATTGTTAAGGTTGAAGAAAAAGAAAAGAAGTACTATGTTGTAAAGTGTTAAAGTGAGAATTACCTCTATAATGTTATCACTATACAATTCCATTCAAAAGTAGCTTCATAAAAAGTTCCATAAAAAAAGAGTAAAAAAAATGAAGCTAATTTAATGTATAGAAAGTTTCAAAAGAGAAGGGATTCTTGCAATTGAGTTAGTAAATTATGAGGGTAAATATGGAAAATTGAAGGAAGAAATTGGGTTGAGAAATGTGGTTGGAATTGAAAATTGAAGAGTGAACAAAATCTTGAGTCATGTTACTTATGTTTATTGTGCTCTCTAGAGTTTGAACCTTGTTTAACAAGAAAAACCATATTTCTTTGTTAACTAGGCCTATTACAACCCTCAAAAGACCTTGTGATCCTTCATCTTCTTTTCAAGAGTAACAATGGAGAGATGATATCAATGCTTATGTTTATAGAAATGATGTGTGTAGTTGAGAGAAACACTCACCCAAAGAGAGATACACCACTGAGGATTATATATTCAATCATTGATTTATAGTGCTCAAGTTGGTGATTTGTCTTGTGAATTCTTTGGTTAGGTATGATTGAAAATGTGGGCACTTCAAGTGAGTAGGAATTAATTTGATTAAGGTGAATTGATTGATGATTTATTCACTTGTTGATATAGAAGCAATTTGTGAAATGAAAAGTGTTGTCTATTTGTGTCACGGTGGAACTTTTGTTTGGGGACAAACAAATGAGTAAGTTGGGGGGAGTTGATAAGTAGGGATGGCAACGGGGCGGGGCGGGTACGGGTTTTATGATACCCGTCCCCG